GCAACGCCTGTAAAGGTAGCTACTCTTGAGCACTCTGTGCTGCGATTCATTTGAATCGTTTGGTCCCCCTGGAACAGGGACCGTAAGCTCTCTGAGCTTGTTGACTCTCTGAGTCGGGTTCGTAGAACCAAAGTTGCTCGTAAGAGCGTTAAGTCTTCCTCTGACTTAAGGAGCTGTGTAGCTCCGCTACACCGGTGATCTGCACTAGACTCGTGGGGGTGCCCGTGTATCGACCTTCTTCCTTGCTGTAGTCCGAATGGATTACGATGGCGTTGTGCACGTTCTCAACCGTGTTGTTGATGAACTTCACGTCAGTGATCAGTCCCTTGAGACCAATGATGGCTTTGATACGGATGCCGTTCACACTGTTGACGATCCTGTTGCCCACAGCGGTCACACCCCGCACGGTGGTCGAAGCGTCGACAGCGTTGCCGCCAACAGACCCGATGGAAATACCGTGCGTATTGTAGCAGTTGTTGTAGCTAAAGATGGTGTTGGTGCTCGACTGCATTGCGAGACAGTCGTCCTGATTGTAGATCGTGTTGCCGGTGATCGTGACCCCGTCGTTCTTGGACAAGTCGAACCCATCCGTGTTCTTGGCGATGCCATCGCCCGCTCTCGAGTCGATCGTGAGACCAAACAGATCCGTGTTCTTGCACGTGATGACGCTGAACGTACGGAAGGGCATGTTCTTGATCGTGAAACCGGACACTTTCGAGGTGATGACGCTTTCGAGACGGAAGAAGACGGGGCGCAAGATGGACGGACCGTATTTCCAGTACCAAGGTCCTTGTCCGTCAAGGACGCCCGATCCCTTCACGGTGAGATCCGTTCCGCTGACCATAACGAGAGGACCAGCCCACATTTTCGTACCGAACGTCGTGGTGCCTTTGAACTCAATGACGGCACCCCTCTCCGTCTTCGTCAGGTCCAACGTCACGCCAGCCGGTACGCTGAGTGACTCGACGGTGATGGAGCTGCACGCCGAAACGTCAGTCCCTTGCTTGTACGTGCCCGTGAGGACGCAGGCATTGGTGCTGACCGGACCGCTCGACTGTTGAACCTGCACGGGGTTCTGTTGCTCCTGCACGGGGTTCTGTTGCTCCTGCACGGGGCTCTGTTGCCCCACGTCGTTCATCGTTTCGCTCTTGCCCTCAACATCCGAGTGTACACTGAGCGAGCCGTCGGTCGCGACAGCAGCAAGAACGAGGGCAACGAGTACAGCAGAAAAGAGTTTCATCGTCGATGGCGGTGGTCGTGGAGAGAGTTGGTTGCGCTGGCCGAAGACAATTGGAAAGTGAGTTGCTCGTGGCGCTACTTGCAGTCGTTGGAAGAAACGCATACACGATACACTTCAGAGCAGTCGTTTTGACTCTTGTCCTCTGTGACGAGGACGACTCCGCCATCTGACTTTGCTCGTCTCAAGCGCCATCTGTCGGTCGAGAGGAGGAGGGGGGCACGTCGGTTCAAGGACTATACCATGCGAATCGTCGGATGAAAGAGCGAGTGCAGCTATCATTTCAGACGACAGGCTGTTGAGCCTCACCCATGCGACTGCAGCAAATGGTTTGGTCGAATCAAGCAGCCGGACGTGCTTGGAAAGATTGTTGTCAACCAGGAGACGCACTGTACCACCTGTGCGAACCTCTGTGGGCTTGTCTCCTCGCGCAAAGTTGGGTGTTGTGTGGACGCAACGAGACTTTCGTCGTCAATGTGTTCTCGTCCGGTGGGTTTCGTGGCATCGAAGGGCATCTGCAAGACGTCCTGACCTTCCATCACCCAAATGACGGACAAAGAACAGCGATTGCATCCGACACAACGATGGCCGCGACGGACGTGTGAGGGTATGCTGCAAATATTAATCCCCATGGGTGAGGACATGTTTGATCCATTGGTGAGCGAGCACATACCAGACGACACTATTCTCACGTGCCCTGCTCTCCACAGCGTCGTAAAGCACTTCAGTTCGCGTGCTGTTCAAGAGCGGTGGGGTGGATGGGTACGCACCGTCACAAGCAGGTCGTACCGGATTGATCGAATGCTGCCGCACTGTCCTCGCCACGAAATGCTTTTCCGTTCCCTGCTGTTCTGACCGGCTCTTGACGCCTACAACCCAGTTTCCACCTCAACATTATGCTCGAACGCACGCTTGTGCACGACCGAACAAACGGATGACACGCGCGATGATTGCACAACATCCTGCAATGATGTCTCATGTGTTACCGTAGCAACTGTATATTGATAAGTTTCTCGCTTGCAAGCAACTTTTTGCCGTCTTGGTGGTGCTGCGTTCTTCTGCTGGTACAGCGGGGGTCCAACGGTGCGAGAACAACGTACAAACGTGAAGCACCAAAAGTCCATACTGCTTCGACTCGCTGAGTATGCACGATGCAACGCGTCCATACGATTCTGCAAAAAACGTCCGCAACATCCACCTTCAGGTTTCGTAAACCACTCGACAATGTCGTGCCGTATAGTCCACCTTGGTGCATGTGTATACGCTGCGATGCAGCGGAGAGTGGGGGAACGGCAAAAGACACTACTCCATTTCTTTTGTCCGCGTCTCACGGATCAACACGTTGCTCGACACTAGTCGCCTGTGTTCTTCCGCAGTCAATACGAATGAACATGTGCATACAGTCTTGGAACAAAGGAGTCGATTTCGTGGAAGCATGCGGGTCGTTTGTGCATCCCAAAGTTGCCGAACCGCCTATGACCGATGAGCTCGTGATGCTGCACTTGACATTCGAACCAATTTGCTGAGCAGATGGCGAACGTGACCAGTAGGACGACGGCCACTACAAGCTTCGGTAGAAGACCGAGCACCAGATAGGTTGCGTGTAAATCGATTGCGAGCACTTCATGGCGATCCCAAAAACACGCAGAATCGTTCAGTTCTCCGACAAAACTATTGACCAGCAAGCAGGCGACATCCAGTGAGGGCGCGACTTCGCAGGGTAGAGCGTAAGCTTTTCATATAGACCGTCGTCGAATGCCTTTTTTCAGTCAGTGGGAATTGACAAAACTCAATATTTTACGGATACGACTAGCTCAGCGACGTGCGTCAAAGTAACGTAAATAAGACCCGCTTACATGTCAGTAGGTAAAGGAGACCAGATGGGAGCTTCTGTCTTCAACACTGTAGAAAAAGAAGCTGGTGAAGTTAATGGCTCCCGTCTGCTCGGACTTTTGAAAACAAGAAAGCTGATTATAGGTTTGGATACTAAGTGCAGCAACACGAGCTCATCGGTCATTGGCGTTTCGGCAACATATGAATGCACAGTCACTCTCATGCTTCCACGAAATCGATTCCGATATTCTCACACAAAAGCGTGTGGTGGCGTGCTACATCCCGACACCAGGGCAAGTATACGTCTATCCGAACGTCGGTACAACTTGCACACGCGAAGTATAGTGTTGAGGGACAAACCTCGCCGTATTTCTACAGCGATCTCGCGTACCATGCAGTCGTGGACGGCTCATAAAGCGACATCCACGTCGATTTTTTTGTGCGTTAGGCGGACGACTCTTCGGCCTGCCGGTGCGCTTGTTGACTTGAAAGAAAAAGAGGTGAACCAAGGAACTGATTGTCTCCCTACAAACACCGATCCCTAACGATGCAATCTTTCCTAGCCTTCCCTTCGCTATGATGTCTTCCGTTGACCACTGGCGATAAGGGCGGACCAAGCAGACTATCACACCACTTTGTGTCATCATATCTTCAATCGCGTACGATGACAGGTACCGGTGTCATCAATCTGCTCGAGACAACTGCGGTCTTACGTCGAAAGTAGGTCCCATTTGAAGAGGACAGTACTCGATAGTTGGACTGCTGAATGTACCAGCTAGACCAACAAAACGAATACGAGGAAGCGTAATAACGATACCGTAAGGTTAGCTGGAGTAAATTGATATAGGCCTTACTAGCTGGTACCGATGTTCCCAGGTTGGTACCAGCGCATCTAGTGTTTCGCACACTTTTTAAAGGACCTTGAGTTGGTCTGATTGGGAGTCGAACCCGCGCCACTTTCTTGGCACGAGCGTCGCTTACCAGGGCACCAGGAAACCCCAGGTACGACCTTCCCCAACAACCTTTTAATCACTGGCTGGAAGCTGCAAGCCGGCCGACAAACAAGTCATTCAGGGCCCCACGCTGACACCAAGGAACCTCATCATCTCGCGACAAGACCCTGCGCGCCGGCGCTTTGCGGTCCGAGGACTAGTACCACCTAGTATATAAAGTAGAAATCGCTACGGTAACTGTGTTGCCTAGCGACAGGAAATATCTGGTCGTACGCGTACCTAAAGATACCTCGCCTTCTCATTCACTATGCCTCACTGCAAAACAAACGAAGATGACCGATGTATAGACTTACCACGTTGAATTCGCTTGCACCTGGAGCATGTAGGAACCAGCACTTTCCCTACTGTACATAGTACATCTGCGCACCAGCGCAACGTCTGGCCAACCGAGAGCACGCAAGCCAACGAGTTACAAATCGGACGTAAACGAGCCGCACACCATTGAAAATGATCACATTTACTGTATCGTGGTTCCGCACTGCGCGACACTTACCATGGGGATGCTATTCCACCCAACAAGCATCTACAACGACGAATGCTCAAATGGCCAAGCTGATCGGCAGGCCGAATACTAGACCTTTCTGTTACGTCTTGACGTTAATGTTTACAAACGTCAAATTCGACACCACGTTCGGGTTGACATTGATGTCGTACAAGTTGGTTGCCGAACCAGTGAGACCGGAGACCGTGATACCGGTGATCTGCACTAGACTCGTGGGGGTGCCCGTGTATCGACCTTCTTCCTTGCTGTAGTCCGAATGGATTACGATGGCGTTGTGCACGTTCTCAACCGTGTTGTTGATGAACTTCACGTCAGTGATCAGTCCCTTGAGACCAATGATGGCTTTGATACGGATGCCGTTCACACTGTTGACGATCCTGTTGCCCACAGCGGTCACACCCCGCACGGTGGTCGAAGCGTCGACAGCGTTGCCGCCAACAGACCCGATGGAAATACCGTGCGTATTGTAGCAGTTGTTGTAGCTAAAGATGGTGTTGGTGCTCGACTGCATTGCGAGACAGTCGTCCTGATTGTAGATCGTGTTGCCGGTGATCGTGACCCCGTCGTTCTTGGACAAGTCGAACCCATCCGTGTTCTTGGCGATGCCATCGCCCGCTCTCGAGTCGATCGTGAGACCAAACAGATCCGTGTTCTTGCACGTGATGACGCTGAACGTACGGAAGGGCATGTTCTTGATCGTGAAACCGGACACTTTCGAGGTGATGACGCTTTCGAGACGGAAGAAGACGGGGCGCAAGATGGACGGACCGTATTTCCAGTACCAAGGTCCTTGTCCGTCAAGGACGCCCGATCCCTTCACGGTGAGATCCGTTCCGCTGACCATAACGAGAGGACCAGCCCACATTTTCGTACCGAACGTCGTGGTGCCTTTGAACTCAATGACGGCACCCCTCTCCGTCTTCGTCAGGTCCAACGTCACGCCAGCCGGTACGCTGAGTGACTCGACGGTGATGGAGCTGCACGCCGAAACGTCAGTCCCTTGCTTGTACGTGCCCGTGAGGACGCAGGCATTGGTGCTGACCGGACCGCTCGACTGTTGAACCTGCACGGGGTTCTGTTGCTCCTGCACGGGGTTCTGTTGCTCCTGCACGGGGCTCTGTTGCCCCACGTCGTTCATCGTTTCGCTCTTGCCCTCAACATCCGAGTGTACACTGAGCGAGCCGTCGGTCGCGACAGCAGCAAGAACGAGGGCAACGAGTACAGCAGAAAAGAGTTTCATCGTCGATGGCGGTGGTCGTGGAGAGAGTTGGTTGCGCTGGCCGAAGACAATTGGAAAGTGAGTTGCTCGTGGCGCTACTTGCAGTCGTTGGAAGAAACGCATACACGATACACTTCAGAGCAGTCGTTTTGACTCTTGTCCTCTGTGACGAGGACGACTCCGCCATCTGACTTTGCTCGTCTCAAGCGCCATCTGTCGGTCGAGAGGAGGAGGGGGGCACGTCGGTTCAAGGACTATACCATGCGAATCGTCGGATGAAAGAGCGAGTGCAGCTATCATTTCAGACGACAGGCTGTTGAGCCTCACCCATGCGACTGCAGCAAATGGTTTGGTCGAATCAAGCAGCCGGACGTGCTTGGAAAGATTGTTGTCAACCAGGAGACGCACTGTACCACCTGTGCGAACCTCTGTGGGCTTGTCTCCTCGCGCAAAGTTGGGTGTTGTGTGGACGCAACGAGACTTTCGTCGTCAATGTGTTCTCGTCCGGTGGGTTTCGTGGCATCGAAGGGCATCTGCAAGACGTCCTGACCTTCCATCACCCAAATGACGGACAAAGAACAGCGATTGCATCCGACACAACGATGGCCGCGACGGACGTGTGAGGGTATGCTGCAAATATTAATCCCCATGGGTGAGGACATGTTTGATCCATTGGTGAGCGAGCACATACCAGACGACACTATTCTCACGTGCCCTGCTCTCCACAGCGTCGTAAAGCACTTCAGTTCGCGTGCTGTTCAAGAGCGGTGGGGTGGATGGGTACGCACCGTCACAAGCAGGTCGTACCGGATTGATCGAATGCTGCCGCACTGTCCTCGCCACGAAATGCTTTTCCGTTCCCTGCTGTTCTGACCGGCTCTTGACGCCTACAACCCAGTTTCCACCTCAACATTATGCTCGAACGCACGCTTGTGCACAACCGAACAAACAGATGACACGCGCGATGATTGCACAACATCCTGCAATGATGTCTCATGTGTTACCGTAGCCACTGTATATTGATAAGTTTCTCGCTTGCAAGCAACTTTTTGCCGTCTTGGTGGTGCTGCGTTCTTCTGCTGGTACAGCGGGGGTCCAACGGTGCGAGAACAACGTACAAACGTGAAGCACCAAAAGTCCATACTGCTTCGACTCGCTGAGTATGCACGATGCAACGCGTCCATACGATTCTGCAAAAAACGTCCGCAACATCCACCTTCAGGTTTCGTAAACCACTCGACAATGTCGTGCCGTATAGTCCACCTTGGTGCATGTGTATACGCTGCGATGCAGCGGAGAGTGGGGGAACGGCAAAAGACACTACTCCATTTCTTTTGTCCGCGTCTCACGGATCAACACGTTGCTCGACACTAGTCGCCTGTGTTCTTCCGCAGTCAATACGAATGAACATGTGCATACAGTCTTGGAACAAAGGAGTCGATTTCGTGGAAGCATGCGGGTCGTTTGTGCATCCCAAAGTTGCCGAACCGCCTATGACCGATGAGCTCGTGATGCTGCACTTGACATTCGAACCAATTTGCTGAGCAGATGGCGAACGTGACCAGTAGGACGACGGCCACTACAAGCTTCGGTAGAAGACCGAGCACCAGATAGGTTGCGTGTAAATCGATTGCGAGCACTTCATGGCGATCCCAAAAACACGCAGAATCGTTCAGTTCTCCGACAAAACTATTGACCAGCAAGCAGGCGACATCCAGTGAGGGCGCGACTTCGCAGGGTAGAGCGTAAGCTTTTCATATAGACCGTCGTCGAATGCCTTTTTTCAGTCAGTGGGAATTGACAAAACTCAATATTTTACGGATACGACTAGCTCAGCGACGTGCGTCAAAGTAACGTAAATAAGACCCGCTTACATGTCAGTAGGTAAAGGAGACCAGATGGGAGCTTCTGTCTTCAACACTGTAGAAAAAGAAGCTGGTGAAGTTAATGGCTCCCGTCTGCTCGGACTTTTGAAAACAAGAAAGCTGATTATAGGTTTGGATACTAAGTGCAGCAACACGAGCTCATCGGTCATTGGCGTTTCGGCAACATATGAATGCACAGTCACTCTCATGCTTCCACGAAATCGATTCCGATATTCTCACACAAAAGCGTGTGGTGGCGTGCTACATCCCGACACCAGGGCAAGTATACGTCTATCCGAACGTCGGTACAACTTGCACACGCGAAGTATAGTGTTGAGGGACAAACCTCGCCGTATTTCTACAGCGATCTCGCGTACCATGCAGTCGTGGACGGCTCATAAAGCGACATCCACGTCGATTTTTTTGTGCGTTAGGCGGACGACTCTTCGGCCTGCCGGTGCGCTTGTTGACTTGAAAGAAAAAGAGGTGAACCAAGGAACTGATTGTCTCCCTACAAACACCGATCCCTAACGATGCAATCTTTCCTAGCCTTCCCTTCGCTATGATGTCTTCCGTTGACCACTGGCGATAAGGGCGGACCAAGCAGACTATCACACCACTTTGTGTCATCATATCTTCAATCGCGTACGATGACAGGTACCGGTGTCATCAATCTGCTCGAGACAACTGCGGTCTTACGTCGAAAGTAGGTCCCATTTGAAGAGGACAGTACTCGATAGTTGGACTGCTGAATGTACCAGCTAGACCAACAAAACGAATACGAGGAAGCGTAATAACGATACCGTA